TGCAGTTGATATCTCTGATGGTCCAACCTTATCATTTTACAGGCGAGGGAATTGTGGCTGAGAAAGCCCAAGGTCATACAGGGAGTAAGTATGGGCTAGGGAACTCATGGGGAACTCATTAATGGAAGTATCAGTATTAAAATGGTGAAACATAAGGACTGAGAGAGGCCTGGAAGCAATATCCACAGGGATAACTCAGAGAAGGATGATTTCTACAAAGCAAGATGGGCAAATTCTCACAGTTATCAAATCACAAGGCAGTTTCCAGGACAAAGTGAGTCCCATAAGTCCTTTCCCAGCCCTTATAAGATTGCACTCTAGAGAACTATTGTCTTACCACTGGACTTCAATGACATTGGAAGAGAGAGTGAGGTGGATGACTTTGTGTAACTGCCTCACTTAAAGTCAACTGGCAAGTCAACATGTCACCCGTGATGTTGTTGGTCCTCTTAGAAAATGAAGGACAAACAACAACAAAAACAATGTCTAATTGACGCTGGCTGGAGTTGGAGTAAAAAAATCGAATTCAGTAAACATTTATTAAGAGCCTACTATATGCCAAGCACTATGCTAAGCACCGGGAATACAAAAAGAAGAAAAAACAACTCCTGCCCTCAGTGGAGTTTAAAAAAAGATGTGTTGAAATACTGCCTATGGTACGTAGTATTATAAGACTCATGGACAAGTCAGCGTCTTTGCAACTGTTTCCTTATCTATAAAAAAGCATTAATAATACTTGTATCACTTCACAAAGTTGTGAGACTGATAGATATTTCATGTACATAAAGTGTTTTCCAAATGTAAAAGTGCTCTAGAAATGTCAGTTATTAATTCTGGTAATTAATTGAATGTCCCCAAAAGACAGTGCCATTTTAAGTTATTATGAAAGCTTAAAGACATTTGGGGGCAGTCTTTTGGATCCCCTATCAACAGGTGGACACAGTGCCACAATGCAGATTTTCATGAAGACTTTGACAGGGAAGACCATCACCCTTGAGGTTGAATCATTCGATACTATTGAAAATATCTAGGCCAAGATACAAGATAAGGAAGGCATTCCCCCTGATCAACAAAGACTGATTTTTGCAGGCAAGCAACTGGAAAATGGACGAACTTTGTCTGACTACAACAGTCAGAAGGAGTCTACCCTTCATCTTGTTCTGAGGCTTTGTGGTGGTGCCAAGAAGAGAAAGAAGTCTTATACCTCTCCCAAAAAGAACAAGCATAAGAGAAAGAAGGTTAAGCTTGCAGTTCTGAAGTTCTATAAGGTTGATGAGAATGGCAAGATTAACCGCCTTCGACAAGAGTGCCCTTCTGATGAATGTGGTGCTGGGGTCTTTATGGCTAGCCATTTTGACAGACATTATTGTGGCTAGTGTTGTTTAACCTACTGCTTCAACAAACCAGAAGACAAGTAAATGTATATGTGTTAATAAAAAATAATCAACTAAAAAAAAAAGACATTTAGAGGCAACTTAAATTTTTTCTTTTAGAAATCACAAAATTAGAAAGCATGTTAACACACATCTAGAGAACTGTGTTCAGTTCTAGGCACCAAGGACATTGCTGACTTGGACATGTCCAGAGGAAAGTGATTTGTATGGAAAGAGGTCTGGAAACCATGTATATAGAGGATGGTTGAGGCAAAAGTCTGGGAAAAAAGAAGACAGCGAGGGAGAGGGGTGGGTGAGGTACACAGTAGCTGCTGGGAAGGTCTGTCAAGAGGCAAATGAACAATAATAATAATAATAATAACAGCAGCAGTAGTAACCATAACAATACTAGCAATAGGTACTTTCTCTCTTCTTAACCCTTTACAATCTAGCTATTGACCTTATTATTCCTCTGAAACTGCTCTCTCCAAAATTATTAGTGATCTTTTAATCGCTAAATCCAATAACCTCTTCTCAATACTCATTCTCTTCAATCTCTCCTCAATCTCTCTTTAACACTATTGATCACCCTCTTCTTGATACTCTCTTCTCTCTAGGTTTTTGAGACACCCTTTCTCCTGATTTTTGTCCCACCTACCGACCCCTCTCTCTCAGGCTCCTTTGCTGGAACCTCATTCAGATCATGCCCTCTAATTTAGTTCCCTTTCTCTTCTTCTATACTAATTCACTCGTTGATCTTATCAGCTCCTGTGGATTTTTAACTCCTGTCTCTGCCGACAATTCTCAAATCTACCAATCCTGACCCAATCTCTCTGCTGACCTCCAATCTTGCATCTACAGCTGCTTTTTAGGCATCTTAAACTGGATGTCCAGTAAATATCTTAAACTAAACATATCTAAAACATAACTCATTATCTTTCCTCCTACATCCTACTGCTTGCCTATCTTCCTTATTACTGTAGAAGGTAATACTAATTTCCCAGTGTCTCAGGCTGGCAAACTAGAGTTATCCACAACTCCTCACTCTCTCACCTCTCCCCCTCATCTCCAATCTGTTACCAAGGCCTCTGCTGATTTGATGTTTGCAACATCTCTTGAATAAGCTCCTTTTTCTCCCCTGATACTGCTACCCCTCTCATACAGGCCCTTCCCACCTCAGCCTGGACAACTCTAACAGCCTTCTGGTGAATCTACCTGCCTCAAGTCTTTCCCCACTCCAAACTATTCTCTGTTCAGCCAATAAAGTGATTTTCCTAAAGTGCAGGTCCAACCACATTACCCCCTTTTTCTCAATAAACTCTGGTAGCTCTGTTTCATCTCTAGGATCAAATACACAATCCTCTACTTGGTGTTCAAAGCCTAGCTCTCTCCTATATTTCCAGTCTTCTTACACCTTTCTACCCACCAGGTAATCTTCAATCCAATGATACTGGCCTCCTGGCTATTCCATCAACAAGACACTCCATCTCTTGGCTCCAGGCATTTTTTGGGCTGCCCAGTCCCCATTTATAGAAAGCTGTCTCTCCTTGTCTCTGCCTATTGGCTTTGCTGGTTTCCTTTAAATTCCAACAAAAACCCCATCTTCTACTGAAAACCTTTCCCAACCCCTCTTAATTCTAGAGCCTTTCCCCTGTTAATTATTTCCTGTATATATCCTGTATATAGCTTGTTTGTATTTATCTGCTTGTTGTCTCCTCCATTAGATTGTGAGCTCCTTGAGAGCAAGGACTGTCTTTTAACTTATTTGTATCTCTAGAGCTTAGCACAGTACCTGGCACATAGTAAGCCCTTGTAATAATTAATAATTACATTGTAATTGTAATAATACAATAATAGATGTTTATTGAATGACTGATTCATAATAACTAGCATTTATACATAATGTCTCAAATGTCTCAGTTTGTTTTAATAGCTTAAAGTTTTATAAAGCACTTTTACTTGTATTATCTTACTAAATTTTTTTTCTTGCATTGTTTTTACTAGCAATGGGATTAAGTAACTTGCCCAGGGTCACACAACTAGGAAGTATCAAGTGTCTGAGGCCAGATTTGAACTGGTCTTCCTGACTTCAAGTCCATAGCCCTATCTACCGAGTCACTTAGCTGCCTAAGGTTGTTCAGGTTTACATGGGTAGTAAATAGCAGGACTGGGATTTGAACCCCGATTTTCTAACTCCGGATCCCGTGCTTTTATCATAGCACCCTGCAGGTTGAGACAGATTTTGGTTCAGTTTTAGGAAGAATTTTTTAACAATTAGAATTCTTAAAAAAATAAAAGAAATAGATTGCTTTGTGAAATGAGTGAGTTCCCTGTCACTGAAAGTGTTCAAATAGAAGAAGATGGTTCTTTGTCAGGGATTTTGAAGAATGAGTTTCTGCAATGGATGGGAGGTGAGAGTAGGTGAACTCTGAAGTCTCTTTTGACTCCCAGTGTCTGTTATTCTCAAGGAATTTGGGGTCAGCAACACTGTGGGATCTGATAGTCACATCAGACACACTTTGGCATGAAGATTGACTGAGGCTTAGCTCCATCAGGCCTCTACAGACTTTGGAGTAGCTTCTGCCTTTCTCAAATGGCTGAATGTGACAAAGCTGGACTGTTCCAGACCTCATTCTCTACCCCTGTATGCAGCATTTCCCTGTGGGCAGCTAAGAAAGCAGGTTGACAGTGCAGAAGTAGAGTCATAAATGCCATCCAAGACACAATTCAGGGTGTGTGTATAGAGGGGACTTGAAGGGAGGGCATCCTGTTTGCCTCAGTTTCCTCATATGTAAAATGAGTACAATAATAGCACCTGCCTCCCAGGGTTGTTATGGGGATCAAATGAGATAATACTTGCAAAGCACAGCACAGTGCCTGGTGCAAAGTAGGTACTCAATAAATGTTTATTTTTCTTCTTATTATTTATCCCTCTCTGCTGGAAATAGATTTATATTATAGTCAATAAAATGAAATGGGGCTCCTTGTTAACTTTTTGCTAAGAGGGGTCTTCAGAATTTGCATTTCCACTATTAGGATGGGCCAGGACCTGAGGAGGTTTAAAGTAGTTGGGGAGGGGAATCAATAATGCTTTTATATAATTATACTTTTGGGGGTGGGGCTTAACTTGCAATTTCATTGGTTTCAGGAGCTCCTGGTGAGGAACTTCATCAGCTAGTTCAGATGGCACATGCTCTTTGGTTTTGGGAGATGCCTGGGGCCACGGAGAAATTAAGTGACTTGTCCAGGGTTACAGAGCCTAGATGTCTCAGAGGCAGGACTTGACTTCAGGTCTTCCTGAATCTGAGACCAGCTCTGTTACCCCCTACCTTATCCTGCCTCTCTTCTTTGCCCACTGGCAAATAAGGAGTTTGTACACTTACTGGGGGAATTTCACAGGATTTAGAAATCATCTAGTCCATTCCTAACATTTTGTAGAAAAGGAAACTGAGGCCCAGAGGTCTAATGGCCTGTTGGAAGTCACCCAGGTAGTAAATGAAAGATCTGGCCTTGGAATCCAGAGCTTTTGACCCACCATCCTGTGCCCATTTCCCTTTCCTATGCTACAGGAGAGGGAAGAATGAGAAACAGACAAAGCAACCCCATTGATGTCAGTGTGATTCTTACCGAAACATTTTCCTGATTGGTTTTATTACTCCAGGTCCATCAAGATGTATCCAGATATTGTACAGTGTTTCTTTCAGTGGGTTGGTGAATTCTACTCTAACAACCATGTCTGAACCAACTACTTTTTGTCCTTGAACCTAAGGATCAAAGGGAAGAAAAATGCAACTTATCAGTATCAAACAACATCTCCTTTAATTACTGTTTTTTTTCATTTTAAAGATTTGGTGCAACTACTTTTGGGCAGAAGAATCTTAAGGAGGAGAGAGTAATTTGTCACTGTGACTGATGGATGCACATCAAGAAGATAAAAAATACCATTCAGTATGGTGCTTCTTTTCCTGAAAACAAAAACAAAAACAACAACAACAACATAACTCACTCCCCCTCCCAAAAAACAACAACAACAACAAATTCTATACAGCTAATTAGAGCGAGGGATAATTGCTAAGGGCACTGGATGTTCATTGTCAGCAGGAGGTAGAAATGCACTCATTGAGGTGTCAGGTTTCATAGGTGAGAGCCACCAGGTGAACCCCTTTCCTAGGGAGATTCTTAGATTTCCTGCCAGGTAGCCTGTGTTTCAGAGTTCCTTTGGCAGAACAAAGCTGGGCCAGGTGTTGGATGCCAGAAGTGGAGGACAGTCTCCACACGGTTTTGCACCTGCCTTGAAGATTCCAGAACACAGTTGAAATCAGCATGGCTGAACAGGAGGATATCCCAGCTGATCTGACCACAAGCAACACAGAAATAAAAAATGGGCAGAAAGGTGTTTGTATTTTGACTAATTAGATTTTAACCTATTAAAGCCTCCTCTTTTTTTTCTCCCCTCCCCTCCCTTTCTCTTCCCTCTTTCCTCCTCTCCTCTTCCTTCCATTTCCTTCCTCTGTCCTTCCCTTTCCTTCTCTCTTTTCTTCTTCCTCCTCTTCACCATAATTCTTTGCTATTGTTGAAATTAGAAGTTAGTGTTCAAAGAGCTAATGCCACCAGAGTTAAAAAAAATTTTTATATCAGTCAGCAATTACGGGATTTATTTTTTTGGCTGGGGCTGTAAGATCTAAAACAACTATTTTAGGTATCTTGACCCCCATCTCCTTTCCCCTTCAGGTGCATTGACAGATTGTTTTAGCCTCATATAGAAAGTCTAATGGTACAAAGTCACCCTCTTTTATTCCATATTTGGGTTGTACGGTCTGTTTTTGGACCTCTGTTTGAAGCCTTTAAAGTTTGGTAGAATCTGTCTGAGCTTTGCTTTCACTGGCTTAGCCTTAGAGACCCCAGGGTCATCTACACATCACAATGAAACATCTGAGTAGAATTTTCCTGTGGAGAGATGTTGTAATTAACCTTAGAAAGAAAAACTAATTGTGAAAAGCCAGGCCAAGTTCAGCAACATCAGCTTTGAATGGGAAATTTATTATGTTTTTCTCCCTTTCATCACGAAAGAAAAATCAGTTTAGGCATCTAAATGTTGTGTTTTGAATTTAGCTGTGGGATGGATGCAATAAAAAGACATATCACAGTATATGGTATTTATGAAGCACTGAAAACACTAAATTATTGCCATACTAGTTGGGGCAAAAATGTTGATTTTTCATCTTAGTTTCTAAGGGGTCTTCCACAGCTTTCCACTTAGTTACACTCAGTCCTCTTGCAGGGCAAGGCATTTTTGTGTTTCTGAATTCTTGCCCTCATAAAACCTTGAATGAAGGGACCCTTTGGCTCATCCAGTGAAGGTTGTATGAAGAAAAGTCTTTTATGTGCATCTACTTTAGAAATGCTTCCAAATGGTCATGTACAGTGACGGTGTCAGTTTTCATATTTGAGAAATCACTGGTTTCCGATTTTTTTTCAATATTACATTTAAAATGTTTCTCCTTTTTTAAAAAAAAATAAAAGAAACATTATTTGGCACTTTTCCAGCTTAAATATAATTCACCAATATTCATATATTGATTTCTTGTCTATGACATTTAATTTGGCCAGTTGGGCAAGGCCAGTGTTTTGTTTCAATAGAAAACTCCAATAATTTGCTGTCTTGGAAAGTCTCTATTGTGACTATAGGCTTTTCTAAAGAAAATTCTTTCCAAAAATTCCTTTCATTTAGTGCATGCTTTAAAAAAAAACAAACAAAAAAAACCCTTTACTGTAAAGGGAAGCTGAAAGTGAGAGCTCAGTTAAAAGAAAAATATTTTGAGGAAAAATGAGTGGTTTTAATTGTATATAGTATTTATGTCATTAAGGCAGGGGAGGAGAGAAATAATAGTTTTTATTTTGATTGAAATCAGTCAGGATTAGCACTATATATGTACATGTGATACACATACATACCTACATATGTATCTCACTGGTAATTAATTACCCATCCTACCATCCTGTATCCTTTTCCTTGACCTGTGATTGTAACCAATTATAGACAATTACTTGCTGGGAAAATATAACCAGGAATTTCACATATATTCTGACAGTGGAAGAGCAAAGATATTAGCATCTGTTTACAAGGAAGGTTACATGTATTTCCTGGAAGACACTGAAGAATGGCTTCCTGTATTATCTTCTTTATTTATTACCAAATAAGGTCAATGATCACGAGCTAAACTTCAGTTAAATTCTCAAAGAAACAGAGCTGAACTCTTCCTACCAATCTTTTTCACTTGATAAAGAAACAGATTCCTGTGTAATATATCAGAGTAAGTTGCCAGGCACCCTGAGAGTGTTCAACATATATTAATTGATGATAATGGCATTTTTTTTTTCATTTAGGGCAAAGGGGGCTATCATTCATTAAAATTGTGTCAGAAAAAACAATGATCTGAACTTGCTGGGATATGGCAGAAAACAGTGATTTGGGACTTATTGGTAATTTTTTCCATGCTTCTTTGGAAGACTTTTATAATGAATCAGATAGCACTGAATCTATGAGTTAATGTAAATTAAATCTAGGGAATAGTTCTGTCACCAGTGGCATACCACTTTTTTCCTATTCTCTAAAGTATACTGTTCTATCATCCTCTTGATGGGAAAAAATGGAAGTGAAATGTGCATTCTGTAATAGTAGGGCTTTCTCATAAACCCAAGTCTTTCTACAAATATGCATTCAGGGAATGAGTTGTTTATTACCGTAGTAAATATTTTTGTGGACAAAATCATCCATGATTCACCAGATGTGCATGGAATGGAAAGCCTGCCAAACGTGGTGAATTATGCCTCCCAGACAGGCACCCATCTGGGAATAAGGGCATTATGCAGAAGAGCCACTCTAAGGGGGAACAGGCTTCAAAATTCAGCAGAATCTATTAATATGGAAGTTTTAAAAAGGGAAGAACAGTGCTTTCTCCAATCACTTCTATAACATTTAATCCAGTGTTTATAGCATTATAGAATTAGAGGTAGAAGGGATAATAGATTCAGAGGTCATTGAGTCTGTTCTCCCTCATTTTGTGGATGAGGAAAACCTTAGGCCCAGAGAAGTGACTTGCCCAAGGTCACACAGTTAGTAGGTGTCCAAGGCAGGATTCAAACCTAGGACTTCCTGACTCCATTGTTTCATCTGTTTGGCTTTTGTGGGGAAGGGGTGAACAAAGAGGTGAAAGGAAAGGCGATCAAATATCATTTGCTACTAGAGAAAAGAGTGAACTGAGGAGCCACACATTAAAAAAAGAAAGAATAGAAACCACCAAAACATTTACATATACACTGTCGTACTATATATGCCAAATGTAAAATTAATGGGGGGCTGGACTACAGGACCTCTAAAGTCCATTTTAACTTCAGATGTGTGGGACTAGGAGTCTACAAAAACAGAACGGTCTACTATCAGCAACTGGATTTAAAAGAAAAGAAAAGGCAAATTCTGATATTGTATGTATACACACACATATAGGTACATGTGTGCATCAAATGAGATAATATATGCAAAATACTTTGCAAACTTAAAGCTCTAATACCAGCTTAAATGCTAGCTATTATTAATATTATTATAGTTATGGTTGTTATTTTTAGTATCGCTAAAGCTCCTTCCACCTAAACCTTTTGATAATTCTGCAATTTAAACACCATTTTTCAGAAAAATGACTATTGCCTGAAGTATTCCTGTCTAGGATCTAGGTGCCAATTATTAGCTGTCACTAACCTGAGCAATCTCCTGGCACCCATTAGTGTAGGATGCCTGCTGGGCATCTGATGGTGCCTTTATCATTGGGCACCCCAGTGCCTTTATCAGTCTTGGGCTTTTGCTTACAGGTGAGGTGCCACTGGCTGTGGCCTTGAGTGTTGCCAAGAGCCCTCCATCTCCTAGCTCTGGGCATTCTCTCTGGCTGTTCCCCATGCCTGGAATGCTCTCCTTCCTCCACTCTAACTACTGACCTCCCTGGCTTGTTTTACATCCCCTCAAAAATCCCACCTTCTACAGGAAACCTTCCCCAACCCCTCTTAATTCTAGTGCCTATCCTTCATTAATTACTTCCTATTCATCTTGTATAGAGCTTGCTTTATATCTATCTATCTATATACATATATACACATATCTATAGATAGATATAGATATGTCTGCATGTTGTCTCCCCCGTTAGATTGTAAGTTCCTTGAGGGCAGGGACTGTCTTTTGCCTCTTTTTGTATCCCCAATACTTAGTACAGTGACTAGTTAAGCACATAGTAGGTGTTTAACCAATGTTGATTGATCAATGAACTGAATTGATCAATGAATTCATCCATAAACCAATGTTGATTGGTTTATATTCTAAGCTAAGGCATATGGGAAAGCAGCTGTTCCCATACACCCCCTCTCCCACAGCTGCTGCTGCCTTCACTGTTCCTAGGAACTATCAATGGTGTTGTGGAGGGTGGTGTGAAAAGAAACCTCCCTCCACTCCCCAATTTGAGGGAATTGGCCATAAATCTGCACCACGATTTTTTGGTAGTAACTGGAAGCCACAGACTCTGAAGGTTGAAACAGCAGATTGGCAAGGATATAAAGGTCTGAGACAAACCAGCCTACTTGTGTACCTTGTTAGGAACTAGAGGTTGATGATGTTAAAAACGTTTTAGGTAGAGCACAGTTGGGGAATTTACCTGAGGGTGGGGAGAATAATTCATTTATGTATGCTGTTCTTCCCCTGATTTATTCTGAATAATTAATAGAGTTAGCTGCATTTCTGCATCCATCACATCTTTAGTTACTTTCCTATAAGTACATTTATAACCAGAGATACATTTATATCTCCAGCTATAGCTACATATTTATATCTGGAGAAATGTCTGTGTGACTATATATAGGGCTGTTTATTTCTTTCAAAGAACAGAAGATTCTGGCTCAGGTTTTAGAGCAATAAGGAACACACACACACACACACACACACACACACAGCTCACTTGTTATTGATACCCAGTTGGCGTCAGTGAATGGCCAGCTTTTCAAAGAACTAGGGCATGTACTGGTCTTGCCCATCTTTGGAATTGCTGGAACTGACCTGGAGGTTCACTGTGGGGATATGCAGCACAGTTGATTTCTGCATGGCAAGAACCTTGTTGGTCTCATTGATCCGAGCGGAGACGAAGAAATGAAGTGAGGCCTGTTCCAGCAGCTGGCCCATGTACTCACCAGCTTTGATTTGCACCTCCTCGTTTGTAACTGGCCAGGAGGAAAAGCAAACACGTGAAAGAATGAAGCCAGAAAGAGGGCCTGTTGCTTTCTCAACTTAATCCAGCTTTCCAATAACAATATAACAGGCTGGGATTGCAACAGGGGCAGAGACAAAGAGAAGGGAAAGTCAGCTGGGAGCAGTGTGTATTTGTTGTGGTGGTTCTCAGGGAAATGACTAAAGGATGGTAACTTGTAAAGGCTCACTGGATTATGTCAAATGACAATCACGATACAATTATTCTTTTTATTTCCCCTAAAAGGATGGCCTTCCGGCAATCTTCAGTGAGGAAGGCTTTTAATGAATAGTGCTTTGCACATAGAAGATACTTAATATAAGGTAGAAAGGAAGAGAAAGAAAGGAAGGAAAGGAAGGAAGGAGGAAAGGAAGAAAGAAAGAGAAAGAAAGAAAAAGAAAAGAAAGGAAAGGAATTTATTAAACACTTACTTTGGTCCAGGCAACTTTTTTGTTGAATTGCTGAACTGAAAGTGACTTTAATTAGTGGACTTCAGATACCCTCCATGGCATAGTGTGGAATATTGGGGTGTAAAGGAAAGCAGAAGGAGACCTAGGTTGGTATACCTTTCTAGGAATAAAAAATATCTCATACAGACTGAAGCTGTGGTTGGGGTGGCCCTCTACAAAATAATAAGACAGGTGAAGATTCTCTTTGGTGGTTCCTGGTTTCTCTGTCCTCTGCCTCCCTGTCATCAACTAAGAACTGAGTGTTTTATGTTGATCCCAGTCTTTCTTTCCACAGAGGAAATAATTTTATAAAATGAACCCTAAGATATTAATGACTATGTCCTATTCAGGGATAGGACAATATTTAGCCAGTCTCTTATGGTTTTTAGGAATCCATGCTAAGCCATTGGGAGGGAGATATTTTGGGATATATGGAACTGCCAACAACCTTCAAATTAAACCGTGTAGGCAACTGCTTATTTCACCTGTCTGATCATAAGTAACTGAACTATATTCTGTTACATTGTTTTTTCTCTTTCTCACTTTCTTTCCCATTCTCAAGTCCCAAGCTCCTAGAGAATATTAGGTAAAGAGGATACCTCATGCCTATAAAAACACTCCTGTGGAGAACCCACTCTACAAAACCTTTAGCCTGTCAGTGCTGAGTTACTCAGGCCAGACTTTGACCTATGGCAAACCTGCAGGCAGAGTACAAGAAGGCAATTGATTCACTCATTCTTCCCCAATCATTTCCCTGCTCATCACTCTGCCTCTTCCACAGATCCTTCACTGTGCTCCTCAATGAAAATTATTGAAGGAAAGAAATCCCCTGACTGGTAGTTTGAGCTCTAGCAAATCACTCATTTTAGCTGTATTGAGCATTGTATTGGGTAATGACTTTGGGATTCTGAATTGTAGGAAGGCCCAAGGACAGACCTTGTCCTTGACAGACTGGTCAAGTAAAGTGACCAGTGGAGGTGGGAGATGGGTGGAGGAGAAAAATAAAGAACAGCTCACAAACTGCAGAGCACGGGAATTTCTAGGCTAGATGTCATGAGCCCTCCTCGGGGCAGGGGCAGGGGCAGGGGCAAACCTAGGGGATGAGCCAGAGGAAACAACACTTGGCCCTAGAGAGACCATAGAAGATTTCTGTCTTGGAAGAGCAACTCAAACTTGCAGTTTCTTCATAATTGAGGACACACCCCTACCACTGTCTGCATCTCTGGTCCTGAACCACCATACAAACCTTCAGAGTTCCAGGCTAAAGGGGAAACTAATAATCATAATCATAACAATAATCACAATAGCTAATATTTATATAGTGCTTACTATGTGCCATTCATTGTGCTAAGAACTTTACAATTATTATTACCTCATTTGATCCTCACCACTATCCTGGGAGGTAGGTGCTATTATTATCCCCATTTTACAGACGAGGAAACAGAAGAAAACAAAGGTTAAGTGACTTGCCCAGAATCACACAGCTAGTTAATGTCTGAGGCTGGATTTGAACTCAGCTTTTCCTAACTCCTGGCCTGGAACTCTATACCCAGCTTCTTCGTTCTGCTATGCAGTAGCCTTGACTCCATTCTGAGCCCTCTAAGGATATGGTCCTTAGAGGTCTTTACCTCCTGGTGTGGTCCCCAGGCTCTGGATTTCCTTCTAGCTCTGCCCTTGCCTTAATCATGCTTACTCCTAGGCTCCCTTATCAGTTTTCCAACTAAGACACCTCCAAAACCAAGAGTGGTGAATGGAGTCCAGGTTCCAGGCATTCAGCCCCTAAACTATACTCCAAGCTGGCCCATTATCAAGGAAGCTGATAAACCAGACTGCTGGCTGATGAAATGGGAAAATGAAAGGATCTACAGAAGAGATATCTTGCCTAGGGCTAGCTCCAGTCATAATAATAATGATAAAAATTCTCCTAGTTTTCCTAATGTGGGACTGTTTGGCAATATTTCAAGCTTTGGGGATATTCCTGGTTTCCTGTTATCTTCAATAATCTGAGGGTCAAGACCTTTTCACCCCTTGAGTGGCAGGTAAAGGGTCACCTAAATTGCAGGACTAAAGAACCTGGGTTCAGTTTCAGAGCCCAGGAGAACAGTATTCCTGAAATAGCATGTTATGTAACTGCTGTATTTTGCTACTGAACAAGAAATTGTTCCAGATAAAGTTTATTAATCATGGCAAGAGAAAGAGTAATAGAACTCCACTGTACTATTGGTAGAGCTGGGTTGCTGCCAATATCATTTACTGTGCCTGGGGAAAGCCAGGGGAGACACAGACCTGAGCTGCCTTACCTCCTTTCCCCAAAGTAAAGAAAACTAAATATAGCCAAGTTGAAATGATAGCACCTTTGAAGGCACTGGAAGGTTTAAGTTATTCAGATCCTCCAAGCTGATTCCAGCCCACACATTCCCTTTAATCATCAATCTGGAAAGCATGCATTCAATTCCAGTTGGGAAACTTATTTCAACAGATTGAAAAATACCTGTCTTTGACCTGCTCGTTTAAATTCTAGTGTTAAGATACCTTTCCCAACCTGGTATTGGCATCTTGTATGTAATACTCTTCAAGTTTTTTTTTTTAATCAATGACTGGGATGATGACAGAAATCGCATCTATCAAATTTGGGGGTGACGTTACTCTGGGAGGGAGAGCTAATGTGCTGAACAACAGAATCAGGACATAAAATCTTGACAGGCTAGAACAATCTGCTGAGTCTAAAGAGATGAGATTTAATAGGGATAAATGTTAAGTCCTATAATTGGATGACAAAATAACTATACAGGCAGAAGATGGAGAAGATGTGACTAGACAACAGTTTATATGAAAAAGACTTTCTTTCTCTTTCTTTCTTTCTTTCTTTCTTTCTTTCTTTCTTTCTTTCTTTCT